AAAGTATATAATACGTTCTTGGGTAGCGGTATACGCTTTTATAACAAGATTCCAAAAGAAATGTTAGATCTTTCACCTTTCAATTTAAGTCAGAAAAAATGCTTGGAACTGACCTCTCGTACTACACAGGACTAACTAGAAATTTCTAAACCGATTTGGTATCTACATGTACATTTGATATATTATTATGTTTGACTTATCGCTTTACATAATTATAGTACTATTGCAAAAATATTTTGAAAAGAGCAACTACTCAGTTTCTTACTTTCTTCCATGATTCTTCTCAGTAGAATCAGCACTCCTGAACATGGAAAAGAAAAAATTGGGTAAAACAGTGATTGATTATATTACTATTCAAAAGTGTATTTTTAATGCCTACTTGAATAAAACACATTTGAATTTTGAATTTCAAACGAGTGAAGGCAAATTTAATATAATTAACGTAGATTAATCCAATCACAAGAAGAACATAATATACATAATTTTATTTACATATTTACATTTCATTTTTACGTGGGCACACTATACCTATCTGGCAACGCATCTGTTTTATTAATCTTCTGAAGAATCATCATTTTTATCAAAGGATACCGAACTTTCCTTTGTCGGTCTTTCGGCGTGTACTTACAAATAGTAGTATTTATTTTAATTCCAGTCATTCCCAATTGAGCTTTGCTTCGAGTCTAATGTATTATTTGTTTTTACTCTAATCCTTGTTGTTCTCAGAGTGATAAGTTTACAATTTGACATGAGTGACGAAGAGTAATAACATATATTATGTAACTAGCGGCCGCCCGCGACTTCGTCCGCGTACAATATCTGATTTCCTATGAGATTTTGAAATTTTCCCGCTTCAAAAGTCTAAGTATAAAGAGGCTTCATAGGTAAAGCTACATAACTATGCAAGTATTTATTATTTAAAACAAATAACGTAAATGTCGATCTTCATATCTATATTTTAAAAAGACGGCTCCGTGGCGCAGTGGCTTAGCAATGAGTTGTTGCGCTTGTGGCCGCGGGTTCGAATCCCGCACAGAACAAGTATTTGTATGGCCTACAAATAATTGTTCCGGGTCTGGATGTTTGTCCTTGTGCAATTTATGTTTGTAAACTGCCTCCACGACACAGGAGAAAATCTTAGTGTGGGGGTGACGTTTTTTTTAAAAAAAAATAATATAGGACTTGCATGTAACCATTTACCCCAATTTCTCCCCCTTAGGGTTAGGATTTCATAAAACAGCTTATTCAGGATTTTATTATTGAAAACTTATAACTTTAATGCCGATTTTCGTGTCTGTAACTTCAAAAACGTAGGACTTTCATACAAACTTCCAACTCCCATTTCACTCCCTTAGAGACAGATTTTCTCAAAACCGTTTCTTAACTGATCTCTATGCCATAAAAGGAACCTACCTTACAAACTTCAAGTTTGTATGTTTTATAGTTCCTGAGATATCGTGATTAGTCAGTCAGTGAGTGGTAGTTATATATATATATATATATACATATATACATAGATTATAGTACATATTAAATATGTATTTATAATTCACTCATATTTTCATTTGTTTTTATAATCGGCGAGACACATGATTTACTGTTTTATTTCAGTCTGAAAATAGCAGTGACAACATCATGACAGCTACAGTTGATTGATGAGTTGATTTGACCGAGACGCAGGTTTCCTCTCCGGCTGATACTTCGTACCTGTCCTAGCCGGGGTACAAGTTAAAACACTTCTTTGTGCCCCGGGCTGGAGTTTGCGTATACGTCAGAGAGGATTTTAGCTAATGTCCGTGTAGTGCGCACTACGTGTAGTAGTACTTTGTTCCGCGGCAAAACTGAAATATTGGCGCCAGTGTCAATTAAAAAAATAAGGTTGCTGGACTTATTTCGTATGCTGAGGCGATGATTGGAGATACGTATGCAGCTGTTCACCTCCTCCCATTGCACAGCATTTAGTTTCCCGTTTCTTCCGTTTTCAAAGCGCACGGTTGGACACATTTCTGCGCCCTAGCCTTGAAGCGATAGTGGTAGAAACATAACCAATTATCACGAGAAGCAGCGCGCCCCGAAGTACGGCTACGGCGACCTTGAGACTGTGAGCGGGCTCGGGTCTTCTCACGTCCACGTGATTGGAACCGCGATCTGCCCATGGCCATTTTATCCAGTCGCTTATTAATCTTAGCGTTTTCAGCAATGATGGAAGCGTCGCCTGACGAAGTCGATTCTACCTCTGCAACGCCTATAGGTCGCATCGTCTCCATAACCTGGTCTGCTACCGAAGCTAGCGTCTTGAGGTCTTTGGTACCGGTGACCACCAGAATAGCACGAACTGCAGCCGGTAAGTGGTTCTGCCATAAAACGCTCAGTGTCGTCCTTGAACCGATCTCTGACCAGGTCCTTTATTCTACGCAGCAGCTGGGATGGGCGCTGGTCTCCGAGGTCCATCTCGCTAATGAGTTTGGTAATTTGACGCGTTTCGGACTCCTCGAAAATTGTGAGTAACGTTGACTTCAACAAGTCGTACTTTCCTTCGAGGATTCATCAGGACATCCGTGACTTGCTGTACGACATGTTTCTCCAGCTTGGCAATAACTAGATGGTATTTAGCAGTATCTGAGAGCTCCTGGTTGTATAGTAGAGATTCGGCCTGTATAAACCAGGTACGCGGCTGATCCTCCCAAAATTCCGGGATTCTCGACGAAACCGTTATTTGAGATACTTCCGCTTCCGATTTTTCTTCCTTGGGCGTCATTTTCGACGGTATGCACTACACAGAAACACAAACGAGCACGACACTGTATCACGTCGGGGTCATTACTTTAGCTAATGTCCGTGTAGTGTGATAGAAATGAGATAAAGTCGTTGTAAGAAATAGCAGTTTATTATATACACGCGTGTTACATCAGTGCCGGCCATATTGCTACTGCCTCACACAATTCAGTTATATAGGTACTATAGGCATATATGCTAAGTGTAGTTACATCATATATGTTCTCGAAGCCTCGGCAGTCTTGAAAGTCGGACCTGTTAATGTCTCATAACGGTAATGCTGACACAGACCGACTCATCGACTACGTCCAAATGGCTACAGATTTCTTGCTACAACAGATCCCATCCGTAGCCGTAGAGATTGTGACACTTGGCTATTTTAACGTCCGCCACGCCGAATGGCTCGGTTCACGTTTAACCGATCATGTAGGGAGATCCGTTTATGACTTTTCCTTAGCATATGGTCTAAAACAAAACAGATACTTCACCAACGCGGATTCCAGATGTGGAGGATCATACACCTTCCCTGTTGGACCTTTTGCTGACCTCTCATCTGGACAGATGTCAGGTTTTCGTCGCTGCCCGTCTCGGCTCTTCGGACCATTATTTAATCCGGAGTGTGGTGCCACTCACGCTCTCCTCGCAGTTGCGTTCTGCAGGCTGCCGCCGTGTTTGGCATTACAGGTCGGCGGATTGGGACGGAATGCAGTCTTTCTTTGTATCCTAGCCATGGGGGCGGGTTTGCTTTTTGCCGGATGATCCCAGCGCTGTTGCTGACTCTATCACTGATGTGGTGCTACAGGGAATGGAACTATTTATTCCATTATCTGTGGTACTCATCGGCGACAGATCTTAGCCTTGGTTTGGTCGCTCCTGTAAGACTGCATTACGCAGTAAGCAGGAGTGATTTCGGGCCTGGGCTAAGGCCTCGGTGGCTCGGGATGTAAACAAGTATAACTTTGCCTCCATGTCCTGCAAAAGAGCCAAGGCAAAGTATGAGCACATTGGCAGCATTGGCGAGAAATTAGTTCGCCTTCCTTCGGGAACCCGAGCATTCTGGTCTCTCGCCAAGGCTGTTCAAGGGAATTTCTGTAAGCCATCACTACCATCTCTGCATAGGGAGGACGACTTACTTGCCGCACGCCGCAAAAGAGAAAGCCAACCTTTGAGACATTTTTGCATCCAATTCGACTCTCGATGACGGGGGGAACCCACCACCGACCATCCTGCAGTGTGAATGATCTATGCCTGATGTGCGATTTATACAGCGCTCAGTACGCAAAGTACTCCTCTCCCTGGACGTCCACAAGTCGAGTGGGTCTGACGGAATCCCGCCAATTGTGCTGAGGACGTGCGCTCCAGAGTTGACACTGTTTCTAACGCGTCTTTTCCGGTACTCCTACTCCCTAGGCGTTGTCCCAAATTTATGAAAGAAGCTTTCATGCACCCGATCCCTAAAAAAGGTAACCGCTCTGATCCGTCTAACTACAGGCCTATCGCCATCACCTCCTTGTTCTCGAAAATAGTGGAGTCCATTTTTAACAGCCAGCTCATGCTGTACCTTGAGTAGCACCAGCTGATTAGTGACCGCCAGTACGGTTTCTGTCGGGTCGTTGGAGCGACTTCGTTCAAATATATTTTAGTTTTTTAAAAGTTTATACTCAATTATAAATATTTTTATGACTAGAAATACTCTCAATCTCGGTATGTTAAGAAAATGGTCATTCATGGACTGAACGCGGCTAGTGCAACTTAATCTCGCAGATCTCTTGATCCGCGCAGCTATTACTTAACCACGAGTTCCTCTTCTCTACGACTAACGCTGTAGGCGATGAACCACATTATTTAAGCCCTCTAATTAAGCAAATTAATTTATAACAACCCCATTTTTTAATAAGTTATATTTCACTTTTTTCATATTTTTAATAAGTTTAATTTCCTGCAGCTATGGTCACAGGAGGGTGACTGATAGACTCTGACAAATGGAGTAATATTCTCCATTAGAAAATATTGAAACCATATTTTATACTTGTGAGAACGACCAGCGTTGCCAGTGCGCGGGTATTCATTATGCACTCAACAACCCGTTAATCCAACGATGGCGAAACAGCGAAGGCGAAACAGGCGAATTCTCCAAGTTTGGAGCAGTCTTGAAGACACCTAGGAGGATAAAAGACTTATACGTGTCATTTTATATCATGGAAAAAATAAAAGATGATTATTTGAGTATGTAATATTTTATATTATTTATTCTACAACGTAAAATCTATGAAGAATACATGATAAAATGGTTATGTCTGAAATATACAATCATTTACTTTTGATTAATGTTAAAACAAAATTGATTTTAAACCTCTGATCACTTACGAATTAAGAAATAATTAAATTTAATGGAAGCAAATAAAATATATTTCAACTGAATAGTATGAAATCCAGTCATTAAACAAGAGGAACTTACTACGAGGTAACTTGTACCTACCCTTAACGTGAAATTATAAACATTTCGTTTAGTTAATTTATTTAAAGATTTTGTCATAAAAAGTGTCAACAAAAGCCGAAATGGTCTTGATTTATACAAATATAAAAATGATTATACACTTATACGAAATATTCTCTTGGTCATTTTACATTATAAATGTAGCAAGTGTGCCACAAGGGCAGTAATAAAAAGCCAGCTCATATTAATATAATTGGATTCGGAAAGATCCACAGCCTTTAAAATTTTTAAATATGTAAAATAGAACTTAAAACTTACAATAGCAATGAGCAAGTTACGTTATATGGCAAATCAATACTATAAACACCCAGCATAAATAAGAAATGAGATCAATATACTTCATTACTGTCAGTGCAATCCCAATGAACTATTCACCTGACAATTATTCTAGCACCAATGCCACCGATTATTATTAATAAACAGTCCAAAGGCTGTTCTCATTGTGACTTGTTAAATTTCGATTATACACAAATTGATTTAAATTTCAAAGTCAAATTTCGTCAAAGGTTTACAAACGTCGCAAACTAAAGAAATCATCTAGAGAGCATAAGCACATTTTTGGTAATTGGTAATATTAAATAAATATGACTATAAAATTAAATCCATTGAGTGTTCCATCCAAGTGTGACATACAGGCTGATTTAGTCTGCAAGCAAAAAAAAAAAGTTTACTTTTAAAATAACCATTACATTAGATGATACATAATTCCAAAATATTTTTTTAAATCATGTTGGGCTAAAGTTTTGAAAGGCATACAACTGTCAAAATTGTCAAACATCGTTCTTTGTTGGTTTATAGTATGCCAGGTCTATAATCACGGACAAAATTCCAGCTGTAAAATACCCAGGCTAAAAACAAGAGCAGCTTCAATGGTGCGAGGCTACGCGGCGGCAAGACTTCACACGGCACGCTTATTACGGCAAATATTCCCTACTATAGGAAATTCCCAACAATCAATCAACAGCTCATTTTCAACAATAGTTACTTATAACTTAATATTGAAGATATATTACATATTACAAATACAAATATAATGATACTACAGTAAAACAATGTAAATGACATAGCTCAATACATTATAGTCTTTGCGTTATAGTTAAGTCTTTTTGACACAATGCGTAATTTGCTTTATAATTTTTTTTTGCCTGAGCTGACCAACGAATAATTTATCGTCCATGCATCGGAAACACTGGAAATTCGTCAATGTGAGTTTTGTTTCCGTAAATCAGAATTTGTTGTACGATTAGTTCCAATTCCAATACATATTTACGTGATTTTTATATATTCGATTTATTTCAAAACCGATTTTTGATAATCTGTGGTTGTTCGTTATGGCATGGCATAGTTTAGCGTGGCACATCGCTATACCCATCCATGAAATAACAATATTTGTATGACAGTTTATCTAAAAAAATACGAAACTTCATGGGCGACAGCTCACGCCCATAACTAAATTAACTAAATCTAAACTTTAAATATATGTTTCGGTTTTAATTTTTATATCTACAGTTAATCGATAATTTTTGCTTTGCTTTGTGCCCTGCAGTGAGCACGTGCACAGTGCACACGCACCTCTAGACGGCCTAGCGGTCGCTGACGAACCCTGCAGTGAGCACGTGCACAGTGCACACGCACCTCTAGATGGCCTGGCGGTCGCTGACGAGCCCCTGCAGTGAGCACGTGCACAGTGCACACGCACCTCTAGACGGCCTGGCGGTCGCTGACGAGCCCTGCAGTGAGCACGTGCACAGTGCACACGCACCTCTAGACGGCCTGGCGGTCGCTGACGAGCCCCTGCAGTGAGCACGTGCACAGTGCACACGCACCTCTAGACGGCCTGGCGGTCGCTGACGAGCCCTGCAGTGAGCACGTGCACAGTGCACACGCACCTCTAGACGGCCTGGCGGTCGCTGACGAGCCCCTGCAGTGAGCACGTGCACAGTGCACACGCACCTCTAGACGGCCTGGCGGTCGCTGACGAGCCCCTGCAGTGAGCACGTGCACAGTGCACACGCACCTCTAGACGGCCTGGCGGTCGCTGACGAGCCCTGCAGTGAGTACGTGCACAGTGCACACGCACCTCTAGACGGCCTGGCGGTCGCTGACGAGCCCTGCAGTGAGCACGTGCACAGTGCACACGCACCTCTAGACGGCCTGGCGGTCGCTGACGAGCCCTGCAGTGAGCACGTGCACAGTGCACACGCACCTCTAGACGGCCTGGCGGTCGCTGACGAGCCCTGCAGTGAGCACGTGCACATTGCACACGCACCTCTAGACGGCCTGGCGGTCGCTGACGAGCCCTGCAGTGAGCACGTGCACAGTGCACACGCACCTCTAGACGGCCTGGCGGTCGCTGACGAGCCGTGCAGTGAGCACGTGCACAGTGCACACGCACCTCTAGACGGCCTGGCGGTCGCTGACGAGCCCTGCAGTGAGCACGTGCACAGTGCACACGCTCCTCTAGACGGCCTGGCGGTCGCTGACGAGCCCTGCAGTGAGCACGTGCACAGTGCACACGCACCTCTAGACGGCCTGGCGGTCGCTGACGAGCCCTGCAGTGAGCACGTGCACAGTGCACACGCACCTCTAGACGGCCTAGCGGTCGCTGACGAACCCTGCAGTGAGCACGTGCACAGTGCACACGCACCTCTAGACGGCCTGGCGGTCGCTGACGAGCCCCTGCAGTGAGCACGTGCACAGTGCACACGCACCTCTAGACGGCCTGGCGGTCGCTGACGAGCCCTGCAGTGAGCACGTGCACAGTGCACACGCACCTCTAGACGGCCTGGCGGTCGCTGACGAGCCCCTGCAGTGAGCACGTGCACAGTGCACACGCACCTCTAGACGGCCTGGCGGTCGCTGACGAGCCCTGCAGTGAGCACGTGCACAGTGCACACGCACCTCTAGACGGCCTGGCGGTCGCTGACGAGCCCCTGCAGTGAGCACGTGCACAGTGCACACGCACCTCTAGACGGCCTGGCGGTCGCTGACGAGCCCCTGCAGTGAGCACGTGCACAGTGCACACGCACCTCTAGACGGCCTGGCGGTCGCTGACGAGCCCTGCAGTGAGCACGTGCACAGTGCACACGCACCTCTAGACGGCCTGGCGGTCGCTGACGAGCCCTGCAGTGAGCACGTGCACAGTGCACACGCACCTCTAGACGGCCTGGCGGTCGCTGACGAGCCCTGCAGTGAGCACGTGCACAGTGCACACGCACCTCTAGACGGCCTGGCGGTCGCTGACGAGCCCTGCAGTGAGCACGTGCACATTGCACACGCACCTCTAGACGGCCTGGCGGTCGCTGACGAGCCCTGCAGTGAGCACGTGCACAGTGCACACGCACCTCTAGACGGCCTGGCGGTCGCTGACGAGCCGTGCAGTGAGCACGTGCACAGTGCACACGCACCTCTAGACGGCCTGGCGGTCGCTGACGAGCCCTGCAGTGAGCACGTGCACAGTGCACACGCTCCTCTAGACGGCCTGGCGGTCGCTGACGAGCCCTGCAGTGAGCACGTGCACAGTGCACACGCACCTCTAGACGGCCTGGCGGTCGCTGACGAGCCCTGCAGTGAGCACGTGCACAGTGCACACGCACCTCTAGACGGCCTGGCGGTCGCTGACGAGCCCTGCAGTGAGCACGTGCACAGTGCACGCGCACCTCTAGACGGCCTGGCGGTCGCTGACGAACCCTGCAGTGAGCACGTGCACACGCACCTCTAGACGGCCTGGCGGTCGCTGACGAGCCCCTGCAGTGAGCACGTGCACAGTGCACACGCACCTCTAGACGGCCTGGCGGTCGCTGACGAGCCGTGCAGTGAGCACGTGCACAGTGCACACGCACCTCTAGACGGCCTGGCGGTCGCTGACGAGCCCTGCAGTGAGCACGTGCACAGTGCACACGCACCTCTAGACGGCCTGGCGGTCGCTGACGAGCCGTGCAGTGAGCACGTGCACAGTGCACACGCACCTCTAGACGGCCTGGCGGTCGCTGACGAGCCGTGCAGTGAGCACGTGCACAGTGCACACGCACCTCTAGACGGCCTGGCGGTCGCTGACGAGCCGTGCAGTGAGCACGTGCACAGTGCACACGCACCTCTAGACGGCCTGGCGGTCGCTGACGAGCCCTGCAGTGAGCACGTGCACAGTGCACACGCACCTCTAGACGGCCTGGCGGTCGCTGACGAGCCGTGCAGTGAGCACGTGCACAGTGCACACGCACCTCTAGACGGCCTGGCGGTCGCTGACGAGCCGTGCAGTGAGCACGTGCACAGTGCACACGCACCTCTAGACGGCCTGGCGGTCGCTGACGAGCCGTGCAGTGAGCACGTGCACAGTGCACACGCACCTCTAGACGGCCTGGCGGTCGCTGACGAGCCGTGCAGTGAGCACGTGCACAGTGCACACGCACCTCTAGACGGCCTGGCGGTCGCTGACGAGCCGTGCAGTGAGCACGTGCACAGTGCACACGCACCTCTAGACGGCCTGGCGGTCGCTGACGAGCCGTGCAGTGAGCACGTGCACAGTGCACACGCACCTCTAGACGGCCTGGCGGTCGCTGACGAGCCCTGCAGTGAGCACGTGCACAGTGCACACGCACCTCTAGACGGCCTGGCGGTCGCTGACGAGCCGTGCAGTGAGCACGTGCACAGTGCACACGCACCTCTAGACGGCCTGGCGGTCGCTGACGAGCCGTGCAGTGAGCACGTGCACAGTGCACACGCACCTCTAGACGGCCTGGCGGTCGCTGACGAGCCGTGCAGTGAGCACGTGCACAGTGCACACGCACCTCTAGACGGCCTGGCGGTCGCTGACGAGCCGTGCAGTGAGCACGTGCACAGTGCACACGCACCTCTAGACGGCCTGGCGGTCGCTGACGAGCCGTGCAGTGAGCACGTGCACAGTGCACACGCACCTCTAGACGGCCTGGCGGTCGCTGACGAGCCGTGCAGTGAGCACGTGCACAGTGCACACGCACCTCTAGACGGCCTGGCGGTCGCTGACGAGCCCCTGCAGCTTGCGCGCGACGCCGGGCGCGGCGCAGCGCGGCCGCTTCACCACGTCGCCCGCCTCCGCGCCGCGCTTCGTGCCGCCCACCTCGCACGACACCAGCGTGTTGATTGCGTGCAGGTCCTGCGATCACGTACCCACCATTACGCATCAATACTCACTTCAAAAAACATACAATATTGTCAATGAAAAATAAGGTATAGAAACGTACATATAGTCCACTAGATTATAAGAGGATACGCAGATACCATAGACATCTAAATTTATCCTAATTTAACTATCAAAATGCAATGCGTTGCACTCATTTTCGAGAGAATTTTAGGGCAAAAAAAGTCTACCACGCTGTCACAATGGATGTTGTGGACTTTACAAGTCTTCGAAATATTTTTTTATTTCTCAAACATGCAGATTACCTGTGTTGATTTTTTTTTGGATGTTTATCCTTCATTGCTGAACTAGTGTATAATTGCACTTATAATTGCAATTAACGATTTCATTAGTTGCTCCTGAGCTACCACGGCTCGTTTAAATGCGGTTTAAATAGAGTAAATGTGAGTGGGCGGCGGCGAGGTGAGCGGCTTCACGTACAGTACCTTGGCGGGGCTGCGGCTGAAGCGGTAGGTGAGGTGGTGGTGAGTGGGCGGCGGCGAGGTGAGCGGCTTCACGTACAGTACCTTGGCGGGGCTGCGGCTGAAGCGGTAGGTGAGGTGGTGGTGAGTGGGCGGCGGCGAGGTGAGCGGCTTCACGTACAGTACCTTGGCGGGGCTGCGGCTGAAGCGGTAGGTGAGGTGGTGGTGAGTGGGCGGCGGCGAGGTGAGCGGCTTCACGTACAGTACCTTGGCGGGGCTGCGGCTGAAGCGGTAGGTGAGGTGGTGGTGAGTGGGCGGCGGCGAGGTGAGCGGCTTCACGTACAGTACCTTGGCGGGGCTGCGGCTGAAGCGGTAGGTGAGGTGGTGGTGAGTGGGCGGCGGCGAGGTGAGCGGCTTCACGTACAGTACCTTGGCGGGGCTGCGGCTGAAGCGGTAGGTGAGGTGGTGGTGAGTGGGCGGCGGCGAGGTGAGCGGCTTCACGTACAGTACCTTGGCGGGGCTGCAGCTGAAGCGGTAGGTGAGGTGGTGGTGAGTGGGTGGCGGCGAGGTGAGCGGCTTCACGTACAGTACCTTGGCGGGGCTGCGACTGAAGCGGTAGGTGAGGTGGTGGTGAGTGGGCGGCGGCGAGGTGAGCGGCTTCACGTACAGTACCTTGGCGGGGCTGCGGCTGAAGCGGTAGGTGAGGTGGTGGTGAGTGGGCGGCGGCGAGGTGAGCGGCTTCACGTACAGTACCTTGGCGGGGCTGCGGCTGAAGCGGTAGGTGAGGTGGTGGTGAGTGGGCGGCGGCGAGGTGAGCGGCTTCACGTACAGTACCTTGGCGGGGCTGCGGCTGAAGCGGTAGGTGAGGTGGTGGTGAGTGGGCGGCGGCGAGGTGAGCGGATTCACGTACAGTACCTTGGCGGGGCTGCGGCTGAAGCGGTAGGTGAGGTGGTGGTGAGTGGGCGGCGGCGAGGTGAGCGGCTTCACGTACAGCTGGTGGCGCTCGGACACGCGCTGCCCGGCCGGTGAGTACGCCGCGTCGCCGCGCCCCGCCGGCAGCGGCGACAGGCTACACTCCTGCACACACACATACACACGCGTTACTTCCTCTTTCACTTTGGAATAAGGTGATAAGTTAATTTATTAGAAAAATGTAAAGATATTTCTTTCTGTAATGTTAGTTATATTTTATATTAATTAGATTAGAAATGAATAAACTGAAGTACGGATATTCCTAAAAGTAAAAAAAATCAAAGAGAAAACCACTGAGGCATTGTTTTATGTATTAACATAATACTCTAGAAACTGATAAACTTTTATTTAAAACTAACTTCTCAATTGAATGACATCCGGTGCACGGAAGATTAATTAGATTTCATTGAAAAAATCGGATGGTAACAAAATCGAGGGATACAGGTTGGTATTGCAGTTACATATTTATCATCTATGTACAACCAAAATTTAATTACACCACTCGATAGCTCAAGGATCAAGGAATTCGTTATGAGGACTAAGGACGCGACGGAGGCGGGAGCGCTGCCATTTTTAGGTCGTTTCGTTACGTACGTATTCACGTAAAACACTCGGTCATGTCCACGACACAGCCACATCCCGATTTTTTTTAACTATTATAAGCCAGTGCTTGACTACTATCACACCTGATGGCAAGTGGTGATGCAGACGAAGTTAGTAAAGCGCACTGACTTAGCATAAATTTTCGAGAGAGTTGAAGCCGATATCCGAATATCGAAATGTAAATCCAAGATGGCGGCTGCAATAGATATATATTTTTTCATCATGGGTGTCATTCTCATGGTTTTCGCGGGTGTTGAAACCGATAGGGTTGATGAAATGTAAATCCAAGATGGCGGCCGCAATAGGAATCAATTTTTTCATCATGGGTGTCATTGTCATGGGTTTCGAGGGTGTTGAAGCCGATAGTGCTGTCCAAATGTAAATCCAAGATGGCGGCTGAAGTAGGTACCAATTTTTTCATCATGGGTGTCATTTCCATGGTTTTCGAGGGTGTTGAAGCCGATAGTGCTGTTGAAATGTAAATCCAAGATGGCGGCTGCAATAGGTATCAATTTTTTCATCATGGGTGTCATTCTCATGGTTTTCGCGGGTGTTGAAGCCGATAGTGCTGTCGAAATGTAAATCCAAGATGGCGGCTGAAGTAGGTATCAATTTTTTCATCTTGGGTGTCATTTTCATGGTTTTCGAGGGTGTTGAAGCCGATAGTGCTGTCGAAATGTAAATCCAGGATGGCGGCTGCAATAGGTATCAATTTTTTCATCATGGGTGTCATTTTCATGGTTATCGAGGGTGTTGAAGCCGATAGTGCTGTCGAAATGTAAATCCAAGATGGCGGCTGCAATAGATATCAATTTTTTCATCATGGGTGTAATTCTCATGGTTTTCGCGGGTGTTAAAGCCGATAGTGCTGTCGAAATATAAATCCAAGGTGGCTGCTGCAATGGGTATCAATTTTTTCATCATGGGTGTCATTTTATGGGTTTCGAGGGTGTTGAAGCCAATAGTGCTGTCGAAATGTAAATCCAAGATGGCGGCTGCAATAGATATCAATTTTTTCATCATGGGTGTCATTTTCATGGTTTTACGAGGGTGCTGTTTCTTTGTTACTGCCATTCATAGGGGGGTAGGTAGCTGTTAGACGGGAGATGAAGCTACATTCTTCAACAGACTTGACAGCATACAGGCATCTGAATAGACAGATCTCCAAATGCATGCGGCGGGACTTACGCAACTTCAATACAGCTCGTATTGAAGAAGCGATCGAGCGTAACCAAGGCTCCAAAGTCTTTGCCAGAGATCTGTCTGCCAGAAAGAGCCAACTGTCAAAGCTGAAGACAGAATGTGGCAGCATCGTTTCCGGGACACCTGAGATTTTGAGTGAGATTGAGAGGTTCTATGGGCAGTTGTACACGTCATCGTTGGAGCCACACGCAAGTGTGAGTAACGATCCAAGAGCGAGTCTCATCCGACACTATTCCGAAGATATCCCGGACTTCAGTCTGAGCGAGATTAGAATGGCTCTCCAGCACCTTAACAACGGCAAGGCCCCAGGCGAGGATGGAATTACAGCGGAGCTTCTGAAAGCGGGTGGAAAACCGGTACTTGAAGTCCTTCAGAAGCTCTTTAATTCCGTCCTCCATGGTGGCATTACACCGGAGGCGTGGAGCAGAAGTGCGGTGGTCTTGTTCTTCAAGAAAGGTGACAACGCTCTCTTGAAGAACTACAGACCGATTTCCCTTCTGAGCCGCGTCTACGTGCTGTTTTCGAGAGTCATTACGAATCGTCTCGCGCGCAGACTTGACGACTTCCAGCCTCCCGAACAAGCCGGTTTCCGAAAGGGCTTTAGCACCATAGACCACATACATACCCTTCGGCAAATTGTACAGAATTCCGAAGAGTACAATTTGCCACTATGTCTGGCGTATGTGGACTATGAGAAAGCCTTTGATTCCGTCGAAATTTGGGCGGTGCTGCAGTCCCTTCAGCGGTACCAAGTTGACTGTCGGTATATCGAAGTGTTGAAGTGCTTGTACAGTAGGGCTACGATGGCTATCAGAGTACAGAACCAGAGTACGAAACCTATCCAATTGCAGAGAGGCGTAAGACAGGGTGACGTCATATCCCCGAAACTCTTCACCGCTGCATTGGAAGACGTTTTCAAGCTTCTGGACTGGAAAGGATACGGTATCAACATCAATGGCGAGTACATCACTCACCTTCGATTTGCCGACGATATAGTCCTTATGGCAGAATCGCTGGAGGACCTAAGCACTATGCTCAATGACCTCAATAGTGTTTCCCAACGGATAGGTCTTAAGATGAACATGGACAAAACTAAGATCATGTTTAATGTCCATGTCACACCTATGCCGGTAGTTGTTGGGAACACTAAGCTCGAAGTTGTTGACGAGTATGTTTACCTGGGACAAATAGTCCGACTAGGTAAGTCCAACTTCGACCGAGAGGTCAATCGACGGATTCAACTCGGTTGGGCAGCGTTCGGGAAATTACGGCACATCTTCTCGTCAGGTATACCTCAAACCTTGAAAACGAGACTGTACACCCAGTGCGTGTTGCCAGTGACGACATACGGAACTGAGACGTGGTCCTTCACTGCTGGCCGGATGAGGAAGGTCGCTCAGCGAGCTATGGAGAGAGCTATTCTCGGAGTTTCTCTGCGTGATAAACTTAGGAATGAGGATATCCGCAGTAGAACCAGAGTAACTGACATAGCCCAACGGATTAGTAAGCTGAAGTGGCAATGGGCCGGCCATATAGCTCGAAGAACCGACAACCGATGGGGAAGAAAGGTTCTCGAGTGGCAGCCTCGTACCGGTAGGCGAAGTGTAGGGCGTCCCCCCACGAGATGGAGTGACGACCTGGTAAGACATGCAGGAAGTCGATGGATGCAGGTGGCTCAGGACCGTGCTTTGTGGCATTCTTTGGGGGAGGCCTATGTTCAGCAGTGGACTTGTGAAGGGCTGTAATGATGATGATGACGAGGGTGCTGAAGCCGATAGTGCTGTCGAAATGTAAATCCAAGATGGCGGCTGAAGTAGGTACCAATTTTTTCATCATGGATGTCATTTTCATGGTTTTCGAGGGCGTTGAAGCAGATAGTGCTGTCGAAACGTAAATCCAAGGTCGCGGCTGCAATAGATATCAATTTTTTCATCATGGGTGTCATTTTCATGGGTTTCGAGGGCGTTGAAGCCGATAGTGCTGCTGTCGAAATGTAAATCCAAGATGGCGGCTGCAATAGATATCAATTTTTTCATCATGGGTGTCATTCTCATGGTTTTCGCGGGTGTTGAAGACGATAGTGCTGTCGAAATGTAAATCCAAGATGGCGGCTGAAGTAGGTATCAATTTTTTCATCTTGGGTGTCATTTCCATGGTTTTCGAGGGTGTTGAAGCCGATAGTGCTGTTGAAATGTAAATCCAAGATGGCGGCTGCAATAGGTATCAATTTTTTTATCATGGGTGTCATTTTCATGGTTTTCGAGGGTGTTGAAGCCGATAGTGCTGTCGAAATGTAAATCCAAGATGGCGGCTGCAATATGTATCAATTTTTTCATAATGGGTGTCATTTTCATGGTTTTCGAGAGTGTTGAAGTTGATAGTACAGAAATAGGTCTAAAATTAGCGGGGTCCAATGTACTACCAGATCTAAATATAGGTATTCTTTTACTATACTTCATTAAACCAGGAAACACACCAGAATCGATACAAGTATTAAAAATAATAGCAAGATGAGGTGTAATTAAATCTATTATGGACGCAATAACTGTAACGGAAATGCCCCACAAATCTGCGGTCTTCTTTACATCAATGGTTTTGAAGCATTTTACAATATCTTGTGGTAATACTTTTTCAAATCTAAATTCTTTTAAACAGGTGTTAACATCTGTTTGAGTAATGACTCGGCGACAGTTGAAGAAGTAATCAATAATCTTCAATGGGGCAGAGGGGTGTGAAAAATACCCGGGAGAAAAACCGGCGACGAGGTTCGCCACCCGTCACGTCCTGTCTCCCGGAGGGGCGAAAAGTAGATGAGGCGGAGGCCCGTCTGGCTACGCTGAATGTATGTGGAGCAATGAATGATAAGATGGATGAAGTATGCGAAATGATGAATGATAGAGGAATAGATGTGTTATGTGTAAACGAGACGAAAAGAAAGCGAAGAGATGTCACTCCACATGGCATGTATACCGCTTACTGGCCTGGTGTAGACGAGACCGAGCGGGCATGCCAGGGGGTCGGTGTCATCCTTTCAGAAAGAATGGGTCAATGTGTGAAAGAGTATGAATGTGTAAGCCCAAGGCTGCTGTGGATACGAATGAAAGTGGGCTTAAAGAAGTTGTTTGTGCTAGGGTGTACGCCCCAGATATGTCTAAGCCCACTTATATCCGAGAGCAGTTTTGGGACATGATAAGGCTGGTGTTGATGAAATGTAAAGAAAATTGAAATATTATTATGTTAGGAGATTTTAATGGAAGGGTTGGGGTGACGAGGTCAGGTTATGAAAGGATATTAGGAAC